CATGTTTTTACTGTGACTATGGTAAGAGATCGATGAAAGCACCTTATTTCCACGGCGCAATTGCGATATTAGACAGATAGAGTCATTCCTTGCAGGACAGGAACGTACTCTTCCCATTATTTGTGGAGAGGACGACTGCGCGAGGAGTATCTGCACTGCTAGAAGGTCCTTTATTATCCAACATGAAAATGTTACCATATGCGTTGCGAGATGTTTGATCCTAAACGTGTGTATCTTGATGTTCTGGGTTGCAATTTCCGAGCGTGGAACCCGTAATGATTTTTATCCAGCGGGCATCTAGGAGTATAGAACGAAAGCTGTGAGATTGAAAAGAAAAGATAGAGTCTAATGTTGTCGTATTCTAATCTATGGCATGGTGATATCAAATTCTACCTTCATTTGTCATTTAGCTGCCACCGAAATATTAAATTTCCGTATCTCCTAAAATGTTTAGTCTTGTATACCACTCATTCTTCTCGAAATGCTCTTTTGCAATTGGGATTTATTACCAGCTGCCCTAAATATATCGCGGATGAATCTAGCTCTAATTTTTCTTTTTATCTTCTCTCGATGATCATCATCCACCATGGGTGTCATCCCACCTTCGATGTTTGGAAAACTGAAACGCGTTCTGCACCGCTTCTAAGTTTTTCAGAAAACAGCCTATAGTCTTGGGTGGTGTATTCCTTTATGGACCAGTTGTTTAAGAAAAAGATTTTTTTCTTCATAAATGAATTCCGGTTTCGACTTGGAGGTTTTTTCTTCCTCCTGGGGATCTCGAAGAATAAATTTGGAAGGAATATATACTATGTGGGAAAAGCCCAACCAAACGGTTATCATCCTTACATAGGGTTCCTCCTCACAATTTAATGAGGCTGTACTCCTTTTACTGTCCTTTCCTAATCTCATGCTAGCCGTTAAACTACCTGACAACATATCTCTTAGCGGATTACTTTCTCAAGCCAATCACATGGTATCTAATTTTTTCTAATCAACGATGCAAATTGGTGAGACAGCTTGAGCAAATTGTCTTGTTCCGGATCACAGCAAGAACGAATTCTGAATGCGTTTTGTGGACGTTCTGCTTTAGTCCGATTTCATTGATGTGCAGCCACATCTGATCACTTGTCAGTCAAACGTCGTAGACCGGCAGGATTCCGTGAATGTGGCATTGAGGCTGGTTTGCCAAGCCAAATGTTCACCCTTGAGAGTCGACATCGTCTTACTTGGACCTTCCTAGATCATTATCACAGAAGTATCCTGGCCGTTGGTGATTCGGGTGAGATGTGTGGTCCTGGAACAAGATTTTCTTCCCAGGTGTTCTCTTATTTGGGCTATCAGAGGAATGTCTGAAATACTGATAATCTGCTTAGACAGCTTTACTGGAGTTATAGCTCACCCGCTTTAGTTTCCATTTTAACATGCAGCAACATCAGCCAGGTACGTGCGAACAGTAAAAGGAGCTAAATATCATATGTTCGGCTGAATATCTGAAATTTACGGAAATTTAAACAATTTGCAGTTGGTGGTCGAAATATATCCTCGACAATTTTTTTCCAGAATATGCGCCGATATTAAGTTGCCAGAAACCAGCACCAAGGACCGAATTTCAGGTACCTGTCAAGTTTTCTACATTTTAAACACTGCAAAATTACCGTATTCCTTGACTCTTCGCAACTTCCGTGATTACTTGGATAAATTAAATCTGCTGTAAATCGTGCGGGATCTCAACAAAAGTTCCACTTGAAGAACACAGATGTGGCTAAGTAAAGTTCTTCTTTCTGAAGCACCGAAGATTTAACACTAGTGTTTTCCCTGTTAGTCGCAACAGACATTCGATAATTCTCGTAGAACAGAAGGAGGTTTGTGGCATTACAACTACCTGCGTTCCAGAATAACAGCGATCCTCTGCATTAGCTTGCCTTTCCTGGGTTTCTTGATAGCATTGGAGGTCCATATAAATTAATAACGGAAGAGTTGAAAGCAAAAATTTCAGTAAATGGACTAAACGGTTTGAGGAAATAAAAACCATATTTCGTTTAGACGCACTTACAAAATCCGACGGAAACACTGGATCAGTCTATGCCAGAAATCACCAGAGCAACTGGTGCCGTCTATGACGATGTACTGAAGGAATGGAAATTATGAACAGTACTAAATGCAAAGATGTTTGTAGCTATTTGGCAGTGATACCTCATAGTAGAACTAACAGTGTTCTCACTTGGGTCTCTATTCGTTTCCCTTATCTTTAAGATCCGTAAAGATCGTATAATATAATCGTTTGTACGCAACGATTCGATAAGCGCTTGTCGTCATCATCTTAAACGAGTTTTTCATCTGATTCCCTAACAAATACGGGTGTCCTAGGTACCTGACCTACATGACTCTCATAATTGTGCAAATTTGCTCCTTTAGTGAAATCTCGGCGTGAATAATAGACCTCCTCCATGATGTTCATGAAAATGTGCAAATACTATGAGAGGCATTAACTACAAAATGAAGCGAGGATCTCACTGACTTTTGGTTCTATAAAATTCTTTTATTTCTTAGAAAAGTTCTCGATATTCTATGACTCTATTGTTTCATTAATGAGAACCGGATGAAGATCAAATGGTTCATGCAAGAAAGTAGACAGTCATTGGACTACGCTTGTTTTAGTGCACTTAGACCTACACGTTACTTTTGAACAATTCTAGCCACAAATCTCAAGGTCAAGTTTACGTAATACGCTCCATAAAGAACTCTCGGCGTTGATCAATCCCTCAGGGATGAGTCGTGCATTCGACTTCAATCAACATTCTTTGAGGTGACTGAATGCATATCTGTTCTTTAGAATGACTCGCAGTGGCCTACCGATATATCGAGTTACTATCCTGCCGGACAAGTCTGGTGCCAATTTACCAACCTTGGAGGGATGGTAGGCTTGGTGGGCCCAAGGCGCTGAGATCGATCCCATGTGTATTGCAGGGCGCCTTCGGACACTTCTTATTCAACCACACTGTTGTCCGACCAAATGCGACAGTTTTTGGTAAAAATGGTTTCTGAACACAATATAATGAACCAATATGTTAACATATGACCTTCGAATTTTCGCATGACCTGTTGAGTACGGTTTCCAAGTAGCGCACTTATTTCTCTCGATAGAGATCCACCACAGTCCTAATATTGAGGTCGCAGGGTGGCAATTCTCACTCTGATCCACAAGGGCTGCGACTGCTTGTCGTGGTGACGGCCTGGGGCAGACTTTGACCAGGCTGTCCTCGGGATTCCAGGAAACCAAAATGGCTTGACCAGCAAGTCTCCGGAAAATGGTGATTATGCTGGGCCAGCACAACTAGTGAGGACGGGCCGTTGAAATATCAAGTAAATATCGATAGGAAATTTCACTGGTCACTGTGGAGATGACCTAACACTTTCGACAGTCAACAAAAACTCTCTCTAGCAGTATTTCCTAAGGAATGGAGACAGCAACTAACCTCATTTAACTAAAAAAAACGAATACACATGCCCGAACTAACAAAATCTGATGATGTGCAGTGCTAATGCTTGGCTCCGTTTTCGAAATCTCGCTGTAAGCGGTAACAACACGGATGCTGCGATATGAGCGAAAGCCGGAACCCCAGCTCAGCTTCGAACCGGTGATTACCCTTTCCAAGAGCTCATATGTTACCCACTGCACCAAGCAACGTCCTTGCTTTGGCTTCTTGTGAGCCGTGCCAATTTCTTACTCTAACAGTGCTGTCAGTAATAAAGTATGTGGGAATGATCTGGTAAGCATAAATTGCCACTCGATCCAGATAAACTGAAGCTACACTAATAGAAATCACACGTTCAGCTTCTACTATATTTGCTGCGTATTCCTTTTTTTCGTGGTACAACCCGGGTTCTTCTATAACCGATAACACCCAATATGGACACCATGGTGTTCATTTCCAGTTTATTGCGTTCCAGTTCTTGAGTTCTATTTTTTGCAGCGATATGTACATTCATTCAATACCTAATGGGAAGCAGAATGAACTATTTAGTAGGGGTCAGGCTACAAAAGCCATTCTCTACACTTAATGATTTACAAGGAACTCCTTTTCGGAAAAGTTCATTGGCCGGTAATTCGACTAACAATTGTTGTTGTTTCATTTTAATCAAAGCATGGCTTGTGCAGATGCAAAAGAAAAACGGGAATATATTCAGCATAGAGTGCAAAATACTCCCAAGCATTCACAGCAATGTATTTCCATAAAGGACCATAGGACCATAGTAAGACGTGGGAAGTAGTAGCAAACATATCACCACCCCACCCCATAGAACGATAGAGCAGTCTTTTCTACAACTCTACCATGTACACAACTCCTGAAGGCCTTAATTTATGAAGAACTACTTTCCATTGACAAAAAGAAGTAGGAAGACCGCAGCCGATGAAAAATTGCTAGTATTCCACTCGGTGAGCTACGCTAAACGGCGAGCGTCCGTTGTGCGACTAAAGACAAGCTATCGAATTAGCAAAAAAAGTAGCAAAAAATCGGAAAGGTGCTAAACCAATTCCTTCTTTAATGATGCTGAGATATTTGCAGAACTCCAGACCGCAGACGTCTATGGTGGGAAATCAAACACGTTATCACCCTTTCCGAGGGCTAACGCGTTCGCCGTCACACTATACGGGTCGTTCTCTCGTTCCCCGAAAGGGTAATAGCGTGTTGGATCATCACTGCAGAAACCTGAGGACCGGACTTTTGCAAATATCTCAATATCAGTGTGGTTGTATCGAAAATCTATTTCGTGAGAAATATCTTTACAAACAACCCTCCCAAAAAGTAGTGAGTATTTGCTCCCAAAAACTGATTTAAGCACAATCCCTAATAAAACTTTAACCAGACCCTAGTAATAGTAATATAATGAGATCGATCGATAGTAAATATATACATAAACTAAAAACCTTACAATAAATACTATTAACATAACAAACAGAACATCGTGATTGACATTAGCACATTACGATTTTTGCCTCAAATAGTCGATAAGTCATCTATAGTACGTCCATATTTCTTGTTTGGAACGAACGGCTCCCATCTTGACGCAGGATAAATGTGTTTGTTCTTTTCATACCAGCTACGCAAAACGACCTTAAATCTGTGATTAGATCCTGCTGAATGAATCTGGCAAACTAGCAACTTGATGGAAGCAGACTAAACGAACAGAGTTCCTCAAACCGTTAAGCAATGAATATCTTCATGGTATAAGAAAAGTTCCAAAACAGTTAGTTTTCTATGAAAAATAAACAGTGTGAATGACATGCTCAAAAAATTCCTGAAAAAACAAGCAAAAGAAACACTACCTTGGCTGGATGGGCTTCCCCACAATCAAGAGCAGCGTCTTGTCGTATCCGGACATCTCCTGCAGCATCAAACTCGTACAGAGGACCCGTTTTTCCCATTGCTTTCGTCACAATAAAATCTTGAAATCTGAAGAAATTCATGGAATTCTGACGTACAAGATCTCCAAGTTTTTTTTCCCCGTTCTAATATTTACTCATTTGTAAACGCTTTACTGAATTTCACCGCACTTTTTAAAAGAAACATAGAACTGTGATTTAAACTACTTCAACGGCATTACTTGTTAGCAAAGATATAAGTCACATGCTGACAGAGTAACATAGTATAAAAAGGAGATAATGCTCTCGGTTTTGATCAATCCCTAAAGGATGCGCCATGTATTCGACTTTATAAAGCATCGTCAGAGGTGATTGAAAACGTATCTGGGCCTACACAAATGACTCGTGGTGGTCTACCGAAATATCGAACCAGTGCTGCTTTCCTCCCAGACAAGTACGTTACCAATTTTCCGACCCTGGAGGGATAGAAGGCTTGGTGAGCCACGTGCGCGGGGGTCGATCCTATGTGTATTGTAAGGCGCCTACGACCACTGCGCTACACAATCCCCTAGGAACTTACACATTTTAATACATGTGCGACGAAGCTGATTTTTCGCGAACGGATGACAACTGCTTGCTCACTAGAGTACTCCAGGAGCACAGAACGTTATGGATTTATAGAAAAGGCTTTGCCCTATCGTACTCAACGTATTCGTGATTTTTATAAATTGCTCACTCAAATCTAAATGTATTTAAAATTAGAGCTTCCATAATCAATTGCTTCGGTGTTCGAAAAATAAGACCGAAAGCGAATAAGTGGAAAGTTTGTTTCATGGATTCTAGAAAGTCAGAATTTCATCCTGGTAAAACAAGACAGCTTTCACTCTATGGGGGAACACTTGCAGTTTCTAGAAATTATTGCGATCAGAAAAAAATCATTATTTCTTGGGATATGTTGATCTAAAGTGGAAAGCGCTCATTATTTCTGTAAAGAATGACTCCTGTGGAGGTTACATCGTCAGAAGTGTGTTGACAAGCTGGAAAATTCTGAACATGAACACCACCCTACTATGCTAAATTCGTCAAAATCGATGTTAGCTCAAAGTAACTAATTTTCTTCCTTACATAATCAAACACCTTCACATTTACGATGATTTAGGAATAATCAGTAAGGACGGGGAAGTACACCACCACAAAGTCAATGTTTCAAATTTCAAAGATTCTCTGCCCGACATACTGCAACTAGTTCTTGAAATGTTTAACAGCTGAATTCGTTTTTCATCCATGACTGTTGAAGGTCAACTTGTATAATGCTGAGATATTTATAAAATTCCGGACCGCAGTTGTCTGCGGCGGGGAACGAACGCGCTATTGTCCTTTCCGAGGAGTGATGCGTTCACCACCACGCATGCGGTTCCTTCGTTCCGCCTGTCTCTCAGCTTGTTCTATCGATCTTTCAACATCAACAATCACCCGTCAACGGGATTGATCTGGGGAGCCCAAATCAGCATTGAACCTAGTTAAGCTGAGGCTATAGTTATAATCAATGGGTCAGTTTAAAAGAAAAAATTCAATTCTCCGTTTGCCTGTCACCAAATACAAGGAGTGATTTTTGTGTTAATGCTAGAATAACACGGATAGACCCACGTATAAAAGTGAGGTATGATCAAGTCCTCCTTAACGAACATAAGGTTTTCAGAAACGCACGTCCTAAGTTCCGTGAATTCTTTCTTGAGAACCTGTAACAAACAGATTAGTGGAAACTGCGAAAGACAACTCCCTTGACAAAGAACACCTCGATGGCCCACGTAAGGAATTGCGAGATTGTGTTTCCCTTCTTAATTTTGAGATTTTTTCGATGACTTGAACCATCCCAGTAGGCGAACGCCACTGTAATTTCTTCGTTTTTCTCCCGCTCTTGTTGGGCTCTCCATTCCGCAGCTAATTCTGTTTTTCTCCTAAGACAGTAACATCAAGAGCAATTCATGCGTTGACACATACCTCAACATAAAAGTAAAAAAGTGGACAGCATCACAAACTTACTTTGCGATCTCAGCCTCACGATCTTTATCGGGAAGAAAACTTGTGTCGATAGTCGGATCCATACCTACTCTCTGAAAGCGAAAACTAAACCAGTGCTAGACTTATATAAACACTATTTAGTAGTTCCAAAACTCCGGACCGTAGGTGTCTGCGATGGGGAATAAAGGCGCTATTACCCTTTCCGGAGTCTAACGCGTCTCTCAGCAAGTTTTCTATCTATCACTGTCATCAGAGCAAATACCCGTCAACGGGACTGATCTGGCAAGCATAAATCGGCATCGAATCCAGTTAACGTTTTGTTTAAGAAATACCACGATGTTACAAAAATACCTTCTTGGTAACGATTGGCAACTCTTCGTCTTCCTCTTCATCCTCGAATGCAAAGGAAAGGACGCGTTTCTGTAAAGCAAACAATGAAAAAAAAACTTCTAAGACGAAAACTTCCACATTCCTGCTCATCTGAAAACATATGCAATGTATTCCAACATGATTTCAAAATGGAATACAAAGATAAACAAATGACAACAGAAAGGAAAGGAAAACGAGTCATTGCACTAGCTCAACTGGTACCGATTTTTGGTAGTGCTAACTTCTTCAATACACTGCGACGAGACCTAATTTTGTGTAGCCAGCGCATGCTACGACGCCTGATGTTCAACCGTTACGTGCTGATTGTTTAGCAATAGACGATATAACATTTCAAGAAGTAGACCTGAGGGACTGAGAACATGGCAGAACTACAGAACAGAATTTGGCCTACCGCTCTATAGGTATGCACGGTATGTATTCTACTATAGAAAAATGGATAAAGTTCTCGGCATTGATCAATCCCCGTGGGGCGCACCATGCATTCGACGTTATTAAGCATCGTTGGAAGTGACTGAACGCATATATGGCCCTTACAATGGGCGGAAGCTTATCGATGTATCAAGCCAGTACTGCTATCCTCCCAGAAAAAATAGTATCAATCTGTCCACCCAGGAGAGATGGAAAGCTTAGTTGGTCTGGGGCGCGGGGGTCGATCCTACGTGTATTGCAAGGCGTCTCTGACGATGGCGCCAGACGCGCACTCACTCTACTGCATACTCCACAATATTATGATCTACCATATTTGCGGCTTATGCTGAGCCTATTTCTGCATTTATTATACCAGTCTATTTCATCCAATAACTGATTCATTATACCAATTAGAAATGAAAACAACCAACTTCCAGTCAGATTACCAGTCTACGATTTCGTTTGAGGGGTTTTGCATATTTCAAAGTGCAGAAAAAAACCTTTCCTGGCTAACGTTCGCCTCAATATCTGAGTTGTACAAGCTGTCGCATAACTCTGAGAAATGTAAGAAAAGGACTTCTTGAGCTAAAATGCATAACTTCTTTGGTACTTGGATGACCCGTCTTCACTAGTTGTCCGAACCTCAGCTTAATTTTCTTTTTTTCCCCGGAGTTTTGCTGGCCTAGCTATTTTGGTCCTTGGAGTCCTAAGATCAGCCTAGAGCTAAAGTTTGTCCTAGGTCTTTACCAGCAGGCAGCCGCCGCGCTTGCGGATTAAAGGGAGATTTCCTAGCACACCAGTAGTTTGATAGCAGGACGGTGGTGGATCTTGGCATCGGTTTTCTCATAGCTGGGCTTCCTAATGAAAATTCCAAACTTCTTCCTGGCTTGGAAGACCTCGCCGGGGGATGAATGCCCCGCTGTACATCGCAGCTCCACACCTAGGAACACCTCCCGACCACGATGAGGCGGTAAACGGTTGGGGTATCCCAAAATAAACCATCAAAAACCAAGTAACCTCAATGTAAGCCATATCGGCCATAACGTCGCATTACAAATGACATTTATGAAGGGTCGCGTCGTCATGAATGGATTAAATGCTCCCTTTGCATTCATACAACAAGGACTAGGAGAACTGAGACACAAACAAGAACAGATAACAACTGAAAGTGTCTTCAACCTCGTAAAGCAACGGAAACAATTGTGGGACAAGTGGCGCTCAACTTTCTCATCTTTTGAACGGAAATAAAGGCCAAGAACATTTAAATTTAATAAACTCTTAATGAAGAATAGAAACCTGGGCATATCGTTCCTGACTTCCCGTAGAGTTCACGCTTTTTGAGTCTGATTTCTGCGCTTTGCAGTCTTCGCCGCGAACAACGATCTCCTCCCTTAAAAATAAACGGACCATACAAAAGCAAATAAAACGACAAGGACCCAGAAGAAACGACAGGGCCAATTACCTTACCGGTCATTCACAACGTCCTTCTGTTTCTCACGCATTTCGTCTAAAGTGACCAAACCGACCGTTTTCGACTTCAGATGTTCCTCTACGGCGTCATAGTTTGCAGTGAATTTGGATGATATGCCAGCAGATCCTGTAATAAGCAACCTCAAGGCAAAATATAGATGAGAAAACTAACCCTAAGGAAAAACCCTTAAGCAACTAACTACCAACTTCTCGTTGATTCCTCTTCCATTTTCTTAAGCTGTTGTTGCATGTCTTCCTTTGCGCGTTCACGTCTTTTGGATAAGTGAATGAGACGACCTGCATCTGCTCTAGACATCTTGAGAAATGTAAGGAGACAGTACAACAACACCTGGAAACTATCGCAAATTGTTGGAGTGGAAATCAATTCGTACTACATCGTATAGAGATCTCGAAAGAAATTGTCAATGTGAATGTCCCATTATTCTAAACACTTTTGAAAAACTAGAAAGCACTCAAAAGCAACTCCATAGAACTCCAAGGATAGACCTATGATTAAAAGCTCTAAAGCTCTCGGGTTGATACCTGAGGGATGCACCATGCATTCGACTTCATTAATCGTTCGGAGTTGATTGCATGCATATCTGGCCTTTATAATGACTCGGGGTGGCTAACGATGTATCGAGCCAGTGCTGCTATCCTCCCAGACAAGTCTGGTACCAATTTACCGACGGAGGGCTTGGTGAGCCTTGGGCGCACGGACAGGTCCCATGTGTGTATTGCAGAGCACCTCCGACTAGTACACTACACGCAACCTTAAGAACGCTCTCTGTTAAGAATGGCGATCAGTTGTGAGAAGTTCAACGGATTCCTTGTAGATGAAATTTATCCTGCGTTAAGGACGTTAGTTGATTTGCTGCTCCAATGAAATCTTCGAAAATCGACCAAGCTCATCAATTTTGGGTGAAAAAATACACCTGGAGGAAGAACAAAGAAGCTATTTCGAATGATTCATACGTGAAAAGATTGTAAGGATAAGTTGAAGCAGCAACGACATAAAGTAGCCCATTTTCAATTGGAACAACAGCACAGAATACTGAAATCTTCGATCGAAACATTCGATTACACAGCGTACTTTTGGAAGGATGGCGTATACAGCATTAGTTAAATAACGGTGGATCAGCTGTCCCTAAAGAACTAGTGGCATGAAAGGTAGAACGAAACCAAATGAAGACACCCCCATTGCCAACTACTATGTCTTCCCATTTTTTTGAATATAAGAAACTGTGAATAGAGAAATAGCGTGATACTTCACGGCCTATACACAGAAGACCACGTCTAGTTACAACATTCGCGAACATTCCCCTCACCGCCAATCGGGGCGTCAGCCAATCGTAGCTCTTAGCTCCGCCCGTTGCTCTAGAACTTTCATATCTACTACAAAAGCCGCTGCGTTCGCTGGTGCGTTACTTTGCTTCATTTATTGTTGTGATTACTAGTTTTGCTGTGGGCTGTTTGCTATCGTGGTTACCTGGTTGTTCGGTCATCTGGTTGTGGGTTTATAGTGTCGTTTGTTATCCAGTTGTCAGGTTATCCGGTTATCATGGTTTTCATGCTTATCATCGTTATGGTAGTATTTGTTCATTATCAGAACATATTGTGGTTCATTCCAGAAATGTCTGACGATAAAGGCGAGACCTTCGCATTCCAAGCTGAAATCGCTCAGCTTATGAGCTTGATTATCAATACTTTCTACAGCAATAAAGAAATCTTCCTGAGAGAACTGATCTCTAACTCATCTGATGCCCTGGATAAGATTCGCTATCAGGTTAGTTTATAAACAGTCCAAGGCTAGGTCTGAGAGGAATTAAGCTCGTGCTTACAGGCTCTCACCGAACCGGCGGAGCTTGATACAGGGAAAGATCTGTACATCAAGATAATTCCGAATAAGGAGGACAAGACCCTTACAATTATGGATACCGGAATTGGAATGACCAAGGCAGATCTTGTGAATAACCTTGGAACCATTGCGAAGTCTGGGACGAAGGCGTTCATGGAGGCTTTGCAGGTCGGGCTTTGTTTGGTCCTTAGGTGTGGAAGGAGAACGTGCGAAATAATACCGAAGGATTTTCCTTATGTTTCAGGCAGGTGCTGATATTTCTATGATCGGACAGTTTGGTGTGGGTTTCTACTCTGCTTTCCTCGTCGCCGACCGTGTTGTCGTCACGTCGAAGAACAACGACGATGATTGCTACCAGTGGGAGTCTAGTGCGGGAGGGTCTTTTGTTGTAAGGTACGATTTAGATTTGTAAGTAGTGAACTGATCTTTCTGTATTAAAGCAAATGTTCAGACCCGTAAATGATCCTGAGGTAACACGTGGAACGAAGATCACCATGTACATCAAAGAAGATCAGACTGAAGTGTTGGAAGAGCGCCGTATCAAGGAGATTGTTAAGAAGCACTCCCAGTTCATCGGATACCCCATCAAACTTGTGGTCGAGAAGGAACGTGAGAAAGAAGTCGAAGATGACGAAGCAGAAGAAACTAAGGATGAGGTTGGTTGCTCGAATGTTGGGAACTATGAAGTGTTTTCTGATTTAGGTGCTAAGCCTCCTAATAATTGTGTTGTTTAGGCGAAGGAAGGTGAAGTTGAAGATGTTGGCGAAGACGAGGATGCTGACAAAAAGAAGAAGAAGACAAAGAAAATAAAGGAAAAGTACCACGAAGACGAGGAACTAAACAAGACCAAGCCGATTTGGACCCGAAATCCCGACGATATCTCTAACGAAGAATATGCCGAGTTCTACAAGGTATGTGTAAGTTGTGTATGTGTTGGATTGGGAGACGAGCTAAGGCCATTGGTAGGTCTTCATGTCTCTTGTGCTGTTTGCCACTTGCGTGATATTCACAGGATGGAGTTTGTGTTTAGAGCTTGTCCAACGATTGGGAAGATCACCTCGCCGTCAAGCACTTCTCCGTGGAAGGCCAGCTGGAATTCAGAGCTCTTTTGTTCGTACCTCAGCGTGCACCTTTCGATCTGTTTGAGAACAAGAAGAATAAGAATTCCATCAAGCTGTATGTTTGTTATAGTTTGTCTTATGCTCCACCTATTCTACATACTAATAGATTAGGTATGTGCGACGTGTCTTCATCATGGAAAACTGCGAAGAGCTGATGCCCGAGTACCTCAACTTCATAAAAGGAGTAGTTGACTCGGAGGATCTCCCACTGAACATCTCTAGGGAGATGCTACAGCAGAGCAAGATTCTGAAGGTCATCCGCAAAAACCTCGTGAAGAAGTGTCTTGAGCTTTTCGAGGAAATCGCAGAGGATAAGGATAACTTCAAGAAGTTCTATGAGCAGTTCGGAAAGAACATCAAATTAGGGATCCATGAGGACTCGACGAACCGCAAGAAGATGGCTGAGTTCCTTCGCTACTACTCGTCATCCTCTATGGACGAGCCAACCTCTTTGAAGGATTACGTGTCACGCATGAAAGATAACCAGACGCAGATCTATTATATCACTGGAGAGTCTAAAGATGCGGTGGCTAATTCTGCGTTCGTCGAACGCGTTCGTAATCGTGGATTCGAAGTCTTGTACATGGTTGATCCTATTGACGAGTATTGTGTGCAGCAACTTAAAGAGTATGAAGGAAAGAAGTTGGTTTCTGTTACCAAGGAAGGGCTCGAACTTCCGGAATCTGATGAGGAAAAGAAGAAGTTTGAGGAAGACAAGGTGGGCAATTGCTTAACAAGATTTCGATGTGGTCGTTTATTATTGTTCTTCATTCCAGGTGAGATTTGAGAATCTGTGCAAGGTCATCAAGGATATTCTTGAGAAGAAAGTTGAGAAAGTCGCGGTTTCTAACCGTCTTGTCCATTCGCCGTGTTGCATTGTTACTTCGGAGTATGGCTGGTCGGCTAACATGGAGCGAATCATGAAGGCGCAAGCTCTTCGTGACTCATCAACCATGGGGTACATGGCAGCGAAAAAGCACCTTGAGATCAATCCCGACCATGCTATCATGAAGTAAGTGGGCTGTTAATGGTTTCTAGAGTTGCTTACGTTTATGTTCTACGCATTTTGAATATATTCCTTGCAGGACTTTGCGTGATCGAGTAGAGGTCGATAAGAACGATAAAACAGTAAAGGATCTCGTAATTTTACTGTTTGAGACTGCTCTTCTTTCGTCTGGCTTCTCTTTAGAAGAGCCGCAGTCTCACGCCTCTCGAATCTACAGAATGATCAAACTTGGTCTTGATATCGGAGACGATGATGACGAGGAGCTACCAGCTGCCTCATGCGCCGCTGAGGTACCGAAGGTTGCTGGTGCTGAGGAGGACGTTTCTCGAATGGAGGAGGTGGACTAGAGGGTAGATGCACTTGTCCATCATCATGATCTCCCACACGGCGCCACCTTGTTCCATCTAGTGTGTAGTTGCTATGGACGCACGTGATCGTCTTTTGTTTTGTTTTGTTCTTTAAATAAACATGTTATCGTAATTTGTAGTGCACAGGAGTGTTAGGTATACTAAGACAACGGATTGAACGTCGTGTTTTCTCAAGAGATAGAAATTGACCATGGGAGTCTGTGTTCGGCTGGGCATGCATGGGCTAATTCTTTTGTCATAACTTGCTTACGAAAGGAGTTAACACTTGGTAAGGTTGACAACTACGTGTTATTACGTCACTAAATGATGTTTGGGGTGTTGCAAATTGCTCGTAGCGGTGTGTACCCCGCAACATTTGAAAAAGCATCAGGAGTGGGAATTGGTAAGGCTGTTGACCCGGGGTGTGAACCTCTTCTGTGGCTATGTTCGTGAAGCATAGTTCATTGTTGAAGTTGTCCCAGTCATAAGTTGAAGGAGGGGTCAAATCTAAGAAACTGCTTCCTGTTATCGTAGTATTCCCTTCATGTTAGAGTAGGTTGTTATCAGCATAGAAGGAGGGATAGGAGCGTGGTTCGAGTAAGTGGTGCTTCGTTGCGGTTTGTTGAGTGTTCAAGCGTTTTTCTCGTACAGTTCTTGTACTTACCAAGGAATTGAGTCCCATGTTTGCCAAAGATTAAGCAATGTCATGATATAAGTGGACGTAATATAATCCACTCGTAGCTAGTACTTAGATGCTTGGATGGTCCGTCTTCACTAGTTGTGCGGACCCCAGCATAAGTTCCACTTTCTCGGAGTTGATGCGGTTGCCATTGTGGTTCCCTGGAGTCCCGAGGTCAGCCTTGGGAAAGTCTACCCGAGGTCGTTATCACCACGGGTAGTCGCCGCCCTTGTGGATCGGAGAGGTATGTGCCAGCATGCGATCAGTTTGATACCAGGACAGTGGCGGATCCTGGTATTGGTTTCCTCTTGTCCGAGCTTCTTGACGAAAACGCCAGACCAAGATTGGGAGATCCCGCTGAGTGGATGAATCTCTCGTTGTACATCGCAACCCGACACCCAGGAACACCTCCCAGCCACAAAGAGGCGGTAAAACGTTGGGAGGGTAATGCTCGTGGTGCAGCCATAGGTGAGCATATTGCCTTATAATAGGTAATTTTATTGATGTATAGTGGAATGCGTTAAGCGCTATGATAGCAATATCGTTCAATACACGTGAGGTATTGGTCCGCTCTTGCATTGTACTAAGCGGACCTCCCTTCTTTCCGGAGTAAGGAAATTGGTAAGAGGTCACGAAACCTGACGTCTGCCCGTGGTGAAGACCAATGTATAGCCTAGCATGAATATCTCAGGATTCAGAGGAGAATGGACTTGACCAGCTTTCGACAATATCCATAGAGAGGATCGAAAGGTAGCAGCCGAAGCTACGTATGAAACACGAGTACTTTAGCGGATCATAGTTGCGAGCGAATGCATCGAATGGAATAAGTGCTTAGATCCGGACAGTGTGTGAGATCGGGTCATATTGAGATTTAAAAAATTGCCGAACACTACGTACTTCAAGGTAGACGTGGAAGAGGAAAACAAACATCGAACCTAGTTAGTTCTTATCCATGGAACGTTATCAGTTTGGTATCACGAAGAAGTTACTTAGCAGATCCATATAGCCCTGAGTTTAGGGATATAATACTCCGTAATGCGTTCGTCGTTTCCATGCCGACCTCTCGTAGCGGTCGATCGTGTTCATTGCAGCTTACACAGGTAATTTGTCGGACCCACTTAGTCTGCTAATGGAGAACCGATCTATCACGTCAAGAAGGAAACAAGCTGTCGTAAAAGTGAAACCGGTGAGCACTGGAGGTGTACTGAGTTTTAAGGACACCATCTTTTCACTTATTTCACCTTTCTCAGATCGAACTGTTGCATGTAACATTGCTAGGCCACTTCTCTTATGTTGTAAAAAGTCTTATGAAATTGGTGATCCTGGAATTCTCAAAGAATACGGAATGTTAGCACGACCACCTATGGTTTCCTAGATATTGAAAGAAGCGGTCACCACTTTACCGAGTCCGAACGTATCCCGGACGATGAATCCGCCTATTCAAATTCCTCTGTTCAGAGGAGTAACAACAGCTCCTTCACAGTGTGATGTTGTGAGTTACCCATTAACTTAGTTTTTCGGATTACTGTAGTACCGCAGCGTATATTTTTAGCTACGCCATGTTTCTTGTAACTTCTAGTTTCGCTCAACTTTTCCCCTTTAAGGTGAGAAGAATACAAAATATGAACACTCATTCTGGACTCATTGACAGAGCCGTACATATAGAGGTTTGTCTCCTTGCTGTTTAACTGATATTCCTCCATTTCTGCGAAGCAACTCTTATATATATATCTCTTTATGGCCGAAAAAAGAGAACTTTGTTTTCAGACACTTCGTAAAAGGATTTCTAAGCTTCTTGAACGTGCTGCTAATGTGAATTCACCAGGTTACTGTAATTCGTCTCTAGGGCAGGGTTCGACTACTCGACAAACAGCCCATGAGGTTACTTACTTGGATTCGTGGATGGCCCATCTTCACTGGTTGTGCGGGCCCCAGCATAATTCCTATTTTTTCGGAGTTTTTCTGGTTTAGCCATTATGGTTCTCTGGAGTCCCAAGGTCAGCCTAGCCAAAGTCTGCCTCAGGTCGTCACCACCACAGGAAGTCACCGCAGCCCTTGTGGATCAGAGGGGGATAGATTTGCCACCACGCAACTACTTTGATACCAGGACGGTGGTGGATCCTGGTGTTGCTTTACTCTTCGCTGGATGGAAACCTGATGGAAGCGTCGTACTCCCTCTCATCTGGGGAGGTCCTGCCTGGGGGATCAATCCCTGTACGTCGCAACCTGACACCCAGGAGCACCTCTTAGCCACGATGAGGCGGTAAACCATTGGGAGGGGTGCTAAGTGAGGTTTTTCTCCTCTAAATTTCTAGGAGTTCTCACACAACATAGCCACTCCTCCTCAAAATTACAGATTCCATGTATCACTCATCAGAAGTCTTTTTAAGATGCACCATTCACATCTAGCAGATCTCCTTTCTCGCTTAATGCAAAGCACTCAGTCAAAGGACGGTTTTCGAACCACCGCCTTTCAGCGAATTCTTATAGAAATGGACAAGTTGCTCATGGAGTACATAGAAGAAAAGGTGTAGTTAAAACTAGTGGTGATCATGTTTGTCTTGTTATTAAAGTTCTTTATAGTTGAAAAAATTGCGCGAACACAATGACCAACAGATGGAGGATCTTACCGTAGTATTCGAACAGTTACTAAGACAAAAAGAATATGCATATGAACGAGAAATACTGGAACTTCATGATCGGATTAACTACTTCCAGGTGTTTTAACAGTAATAACACAATGTTGACTTTTTATTTACAGCCTACTACAATTTTTCATAGGAAGGTATCATGTGAGATACAAATACAAGGATGCTGAGATATTTGCAAAACCCCAGATCACAGTTATCTGTGGTGGGAATCGAACACACTATTACACTTTCCGGGGGCTCACGCGTTTATCACTTCACCATGCGGGTCCTTCGATTCGCCTTTCTCTCAGCTAGTCTTCTGTCTAAAAGGTTAACATTTTGATTTCAACCACTGCCTCAACTTAACTGGGTTCAATGCCGATTTGTGCTCCCTAGATCAATCGCGTTGACTGGTGATTGCTGATGGCATTGCTAGATAGAAAACTAGTAGCTGAGAAAAAGGGGATACGAAGGACGCGCATGGTGCAGTGGTGAACGCGTTAGGTACCGGAAATGGTACATGCTTGTTCGATTCCCACCGAAGACACCTGAAGTTTGGAATTTTACAAATATCTTAGAAACAATATATTTATACCTTTCCTGTTTATACAGTGAAGCACCACTTCTTTCGTTACTTTAACCTCACTCGCAAACAAACAATGCCTTTTCTCCTTTCGACATAGTGCACGCGATATCATAATATGTAAAGACTAAACCTCTAGATGTCGGGTTCTCTTGTCATGGTACCTAATAAGTAGTGTTACTTTTTCAAATTTACAAATACGGTATAAATGTGGTGGCCTCATACTTCGGTAATTGTTGATCAACGCCAAACTGTCTATCTTTATCCTTTCGTTTCCATTTCACGAAAGTCACGATCTTAGGATGAACTGGCAGCATGTCGGAAGTCAAACCAAATCCTAGAACAGCAGCTAGCTAATGCCAATAGCGTCTCAGCAGAAAGGTCACAAGAAATGGGCCATACCATGAAGGAGATAACTGAACTCCGCCGTGAAGTAGAGAAGCTAAGGTTAGACAAGGTATGCTTTGTGAATAACAAATTATTCTTTTCCATAACATTCTACCTTTCAGATCGAAGGGAAAAATGTTCGTCGAATTCGCCAAGAAGTGGAAAAACATAAACTCATTAATAAGGAGATATTAGAAGAATTCGCCAAGGTAGAAACTTTACGTATTCTTCAGTGATTCTCTTTTAAGTATTAGAGAGATTTAGGTGATCAAATTTTCGTCCCATTGTTTCCATTTGTCTAGAATGGAATTTCGCATCACGTAACCTTGAACGTCTGAATTCAAGTGGTGATTACTGTAAAGAAGCAGACCATAAAAAGGGATAAAGCTCTCGGAGTCGATCCATCCCTGACGAATGCGCATGCATTCGACTTGATTAAGCATCATTGGAGGTGATTGAATGCATATCTGGCCTTTACAAAAACTCGCGGTTGCCTACCGATGTATTGAGCCAGTGCTGTTATTCTCCCAAACAAGCTTGTTAGCAATTTGCCGATCCAGGAGGGATGGGAGGCTTGGTGGGCCTGGGGCGCGAGGATCGATCCCATGTATATTGCAGGGCATGTTCGACCACTGCGCTACATGCACCCCTGTAAAAAAGTAGACCATATCATTGCAAATCGACAATTTTGCCTAAATGATGTTGTCGTCGTTCCAAAGCTTTGCACTGGATCAAACCATCGCTTATTTTAAACACGGTTTCTACCCTGGCAGAATGAAGCAAAAACGGGAGAAATTCTTTTACACGGTCACATATACTGTGAAGACCATAGTACCTCTTGCGTTAGTCTAGCTTCCTCGTATCCATCATCTACGATGGTCTTCGAACTCTCTGCATATGGGTTCGGCTGCTTCAGAATTTTCATCTTCGTTATGAATGGTGTTGACTGTTGGTCGAGTCGATTATCTCTGGATTCCTGAAATACTCCTATCAGAGCGTTCCCACGTGGAATGTAGGGAAGGAGCATATCCCAGGAATGGCAAAGAAAATCCGACGCTCATTCCGGACAATGATCAGAGATAGTGTTTCGCATATTGAAGATCAGATGGGATAGAGTGCATCTTAACTAAAACGGTTTGATAGGGGCATTAGCGAATAAAGGGACCACCGACCTGGTGGTGGTCAGACTTTCCGCGAAAATCCTGGAAGAAAAGGAACCCACTGGGCAAATCTGGCCGGTAATAGGGACAAGTGGAGACTTTGCTAGGTCACCATGCTTCATTCGGCGATACATCGCGTTATTACCTATTTTTAGGCGTCATTAGTTATTCAGAAAGAGAATACTTGAACTTCTCAGGTGATTTGCTTCCTTATTGTAATAACTGTTTTGCTTACTACTTACTACTTGGATACTTGGATGGTCAGTCTTCACTGATTGTGCTGGATCTAGCATAATTGCCACCTTTTTTCAGAGCTGGTTGATTTAGCCGTTATAGTTCGCTGGACTCCTGAGGTCAGCCTAACCAAAGTCTGCCCCAGGTCCTCACCACCGCAGGCGGCCGCCGCCCTTGTAGATCAGAGGGAGATTTGCCATCATGCGGTTAGCTTGATACCAGGACGGTGGTGAATCCTGGTATTGCTTTATTCTTAGCTGGGGTTCCTGATGGGAACACCGGACTCCTTCTCAGCTTAGGAGGCCCTGCTGGGGGATGAATCTCCCCGCTGTAAATCGCAGCCCGACACCTAGGAACACTTCCCAATCACTATGTGACTGTAAACCGTTAGAAGATACGTAATTAACGAAGGATATGAAGTTCTGCGTGAATCTGTACGAATATATTTTGCCAGTATTTAGTTTGGTAGCTCTTGCTTCGATCAAAATTTTCCTTTACAGTGGAAACTTAGGTAACGGCAATGTTATTTTAAGATTGAGAGTGAACGAGACGAGTTTCTGTCGGAACTCAGTAACAGTTTAATGAAGATGCGACACTCAAATCTGCGACGACATCAAGCGATCGAGGCTGAACTTAACGAAGTTGAAGAGGACGACTTCACCTTTTAAGCACCAGAACGCACAACTTAGTGTCAGGTTCACCATTTCTACTTGGAAGTGAGAATCTGTTAGTTAGACCCTCGTGTCGATAACGTAGAATTCGCTGGTTTAGTTTCGTGAGACCATCAACTTCTTCATACTCTTCGTTACTTGTCTTGGTGCGAGCATTTACTGTCGACTACACCAATCAGTTCAGGCGTCTACTCTGATTTCAAAATCCGAGGAATACCGTACGCAGAATGTTTGCAAAACTCAACTGAGACTACCTCTTTCACGAGTATCCTCGACCTCATGCTGCTTAGTTAACGGTGTACAATGATGTTGTACATGGAGACGGTGATTACGTTGTAGATGAAATTCTTAGATCAGCGAATATATTGGAGTATAAATACTGGAAAAACGAAGATGAAAAGAACTCACGACGTTGCAGAGCTTTCCGACCAATTCAGTAAGAGAAGACACGAACTGGAGATATAACTTTAATTTTACTTCACTTTCCCTATGATGTAACTCTTATTCTCAACTATTCATTTGTTTCTGTTAACGAGTTGTTACATGTTTCATTTTACATTTGATTTTCACTTTTTGCTCACTATATGTATTGCCTAAATAAACGCAAGTTTCATTCTGTAGAGGTGAAACTCACAAGAAAAAAAATTGTGCACATTTATTTAGGTTAATATGGAGGCGGGTTAAGTAAATGTTGGGCTTGCTGTTGACTTAGAATCAAATTAGAATGAGGATGTCTTACAAACAAACCTCCTAACGGTTTACCGTCTCATCGTGGCTGGGAGGTGCTCCTGTATGCTGGGCTGCGATATACAGCGGGAGGACTCATCCCACCTCCTCCTCACCTGACTGGGTCTCCCAAGCTGAGAACGAGTCCGGCGTTTCCATCAGGAACCCCAGCTAAGAGAAAACCAATACCACGATTCACCACCGTCCTGGTATCAAACTAGTCGCATGGTGGCAGATCTCCCTCTTTCCACAAGGACTGCGACTGCCTGTGGTGGTGACGAACTAGGGCACACTTTGGTCTGGCTGGCCTCGGGACTTTGGGGAACCACAATGGCTAAACCAGCAAAACTTCGAAAAAATAGAAATTATGCTGGGGCACGCACAACCAGTGAAGACGGGCCATCCAAGTATCCAAGTATGCCTTATAAACAAACAACGTTAAGATTTAAGTCATTAACTCACAACCAGTGGTTTGATACATTGCTTGAATATCGCCGTCAAGATACTGTAGTAACATTCAAGTAACAAACAATACTACCATCTATTATAAATAAAATTTTCAATAGGTTTTCTATCGCTAGGACCCCTCTCGTTTGAGAGATCTCGGGCGCACTAGCCATAAGGGTAGGCGTTGTGTACCCAAATGATGGATATCAGATCCAGCTCGGATGTTACCTTACACTTGCTCGTTCGAATTAATGGATGAATGTCGCCCCTCCTGGGCTTAGACCAGATTGATTTATTTCTTCGTACTACATACATATACGGATGTGCTTGCTCATAAGCTGATTGTCTTCATGCGCATCAATCCAATCAAATGCCCGTAGTTCACTGCAAAAAGATAAGATCCTCGTCGAGATATCCCACCGGCGGTGAATGGGCGGAAGCAGTTCTTCACCTCGACCCTAACGAGCTATTTATATCCGCTCTGTCTCTAAGAGCGTTCGAAATCAAGTATCTCATAAGAAAGGTCTCCAACTTCTCGTACTCTTCCGAAGGAGCGCTAAAGCACTGACGAAAGCAAAGATGGTCTAAGAACAAATCATTGGTCGTTGGAAACTTTACGACTAACATCATACACAACCGTCACTCTAACGAAACCATCCGGGCTCGCGGCTAATGTTTCAACTTTACAACGTCACACAACAACTGCTGTGCTCCTGTTAACAGAGACCTGCAGAAGGACATGCTGTGCTTCTCGCCAATCTTATACGTGTTTCTGGTGATAGATGTAAAATGTCATCTACTTAGGCAACACAGCATCAAAATGCCCTTGAAGGAAATTCTGCGCGAACGTCAACAAACGAACAAGCTTTATCTAACTGTAGTAAATTCATCAGCACGCAAAATTATCAATCATCTCTTATGGACTAGTAGAACATTAACAAGGCATTTTCAGATCTGGCAATAACTACTTCAATAAAACTTGACTTGAAGCCATTACTCACTAATTGAGCTACATATGTATCATATTCGGGCGAGAAAGATGATAATTAAGACACTCGTAACCAGAATCCTTTCAATATCTTATGCCACATGTCATAACTTAGATATCCAGAGTGCGGCATATGAAGCTAACCCGAAACGCCACCCACGAGCTTACGAGTACAAGGGTCAACTGCAGAACTCGCAGGAAAGCAACATTACTGGAGATAGAAAAGTGGTAAACCTCCATAAGAAAGCGTCACCATATCAGCATACATTAAACCATTCATGGAACTTCACATATATAGAATAGACGATTTGATAACCTATATCTACATGATCACCAAAATTCTAGAAATCCAAATACAGAGAAAGAGTTTCCAATAATCCCTAGCGAACGATGAACGAAAATTTTCAAAGGTATCGACTGGTAAGTAAGGAAACAACTCCAAAATTAATCTACAACCTACATTTCTACATTTCCATTACTCATAACTGTAATGTAAAGTAGGACTAAATATCTAAACAAACTAAAACCTAAACCTATCACCTATAGCTAGTTTGCCGTACAAAGGGTACATGTGGAGCCATAATTACCGTTAGGACAATCACCACTATCCCAGCGATAGTTAAAGCAACTTAGAATGGATTCAGAAAATCGCAAACTTTGGGTCGATATCCAACTCCTTCAGTAATTTCTCAGCAAGGAAACGATCAATGTTAAATGGTTCGAAATCTGGCGGCAGTTCCTTTCCTCTGCGAAAAATTACTATCGTTGGGTCTGCCTCTCCTGTTGGTGTTTCGCGAAATGCTCGCCATACTATAAAAAGATAAGAATGAGAAACAACAACAAAAGAAATCAAATGCGAACAAAAATTATTATTGCAACCATTTATAAACCATCGCGAATTGCTAATATTAGACGTGGTATTTACGTTACAGAGGCGCGTGTAGCGCAGTGGTCGCCCTGCAATACACATGGGATCGACTATCCCGAGCCCAAGGCTCATCAAGCCTTCTATCACTCGTGGTCGGGAAATTGGTGCCAGAGTTGTCTGGAAGCATAGCAGCACTGGCTCGATACATAGAAAGTCCACTGCGACTAATTGTAAAGGCCAGATATGCGCCTCCCACAACGCTTAATGAAGTCGAATGCATAGCGCATTCCTCAGGGATTGATCAACGCCGAGGACTTTATTTATTCATTTAGAGCTTCTTACTTCAATGTATGAAGCATTCGGTATTGACGAATCCCTAAAGGTGAGCCATGCATTAAAGTTCATTAGGCGTCGTTAGAGATCACTGAATGCATATTTGGGCTTTACAATAATTCGCGGTGGCCTACCAATGTATCAAGCCAGTGCTGCTATCCTCCCATACAAGTGGGGTACCAATTTGGCGACTTAGTAGGACTCGAAATCTTGGTGGATTCCGAGCGCGGGGTCGAATCAACGACAAAGTGCGTATCGCAGAGTAATTCTAACAGTAAAATTCTATTCGCGCTCTTCCTTATTACATTAGTCGCTCAAGATTTGCTCAAGGATACTTAAAATTGTAGAAAGGTTAAACAAATCTACCCTTTCACAGACAGTTTGGTCACCACTAAGGTCGAATAAAACTTGTCACGAAGCAGCAGGCGTCGCTATTCCATAGGACCAACACAGAATGTATTTACATCAATGATGTAACTTACACGAACTGCGAAACATAAAACTCCCCAGTGTACACTAGAACGACCACAGATGACCACAGGGTTGTAATGACTGGAACGAATTACGGGGACTAATAGAATGAAAAGGAAATCAATACCCAATGGGAAAGTGAACACAAAAGCGGTGGACAACGAAGAGGATAAAAGAACTAAAAAAATACTCACAACTATGGAGAAATTCAATTTGTTGTTCAATGTGAGGCGACGAAGGTGTCGACGGTGGAGTAAGGATCAATGGTGAGTTGTGCTTTATTTTCGGCTTGTTGAATATTGGGACAGACCTAGGCAGAAGAGTTCAGGAGATATCGTCCACTAAATGGAATACTATTCTACCAAGATTTAAAATCTCCAAAATTATTCTTGCATTGGGAAACAGGTTCACAAATACTTGCTTGGATATATGGATGGCGCGTCCTCAATGGTTGTGCGGGCCCCTAGCATAATTTCCACTTTTTTGGAGTTTTCCAAGTTTAGCCATTGTGGTTCCTTGGAGTCCTAAAGTCAGCCAGGCGACAGTCTGCTCCAGGTCGTCACCACCACAGGCAGTAGCCGCCCTTGTCTATCAAAGGCAGATTTGCCACCATGTCACTAATTTGGTACCAGGACGGCGGCGGATCCTGGTGTTGGTGTGCTCTTAGCTGGACTTCCTGATGGAAATGCCGGAGTACCTCTCAACATGCGAGGTCCTGCTGGGGAAGTGAATCCCTCGCTGTACATCGCAGCCCGACACCGAGGAACACCTCAGCCACGATGACAGCAAAGCGTTTGGAGGATGTACAATTACAAAGAAAAGCAATAGCCAGTGTTCTTAGCCTCCAATGCGTCATATCATTCTCATTCATTTCCACACAACGTATTACTTTCCAATCTAAACAAAACAAAAGAGAAGAGAAATTTTCAAACATCCGTATCACAGTGATTTTAAGAATCTGCAAAAACACGAATAGAAGGCTTACATCTCGGAATGAGGCAGTAGTTGCTCGCAAGTCTTCTTGGGTGGAATACCTACAAATATAGATTTGTCATTTCACAGACAAACGAAATTCTGGTCTCCAATCCTTTCACTATCGATGAGAAATGCGCGAAATCAATGAAACTGACCGCATAAGCGACTACATGAAACTCTTACGTCCCATCAATAGCAACAATCTCTCTTCATACAATATGAATGTAAGTCCTAAGGAGATCCCATGGGTAAAAAACCTACCAAACAGAGAGAAAAAACGTACCTCTTCGCTTTTCAGCTCCTTTTTGAAAGGTTTGAGGGTACTGATGAGAAGTACAGAATGGTCGTTGCTTTTGCATAGTTGGAAACGCGGTTTTCGGCATAGCAGAATGGCCAGCTTTGTACATCCTTGTAGCGTTTAGCCAAAGTCCCGTAATTAGCTAAGAAGTGAGAATAAATACCACGAGATTACTACGAACGATCTTCAGTCGGGAGCACCATCTCACTGGCGATACGCAACAGGCGTTGGGCTTCGTTGTTTGTTTTGTCGTTCTCTAAAAAGCTGCCTTGTTTCGTAGGAAGGTGTAATTTCATGATGAAGAATGTCAACAACTATGAAGAAGGTGGGGATAAACTACATTTTTAGAACTTAGATTTTTTTCTGGATTTTTCTGGAATTTTTTTCCGGGATTCTCTTTCACGCAAGGTTTTGGAGCATAGTTCCATTTCCTAATGAGCTTAAACGGAGTTGTTACAGTCTTTGGTATAAAACTTATCAAAATCTCTGCCATCTTTTTTACAGTATCGTCATATCTTAGCCATATGTCTATAGTAGTTAAACCAAGTTAGACCCAGTTGTATCTTTCTTTCTTTCTTTCTGTCGAGAGTCGTTTTCTGTTCTTCTGTTTAGTCCTCTGCTGAGGAAGAGTTGGAAAAGCAATATCGGGACTATAAAGCTCAGTTTGACCAGTGGAAGGAGAAAAACAAGTAAGCATATTCGTTTAGTTTGCTGCTTTCCTCATCTATGGTGGATTCCCGTAGTAGAAGTTAATTCGACTTGTGTTTACGTTGTTTTCGTGGAGATGACAGCTATTTATTACAGACACTTTGATGCTGAGATATTTGCAAAACATTTTTAAATAGGGAACTAACTGAGATAGAAACGAAACGAGAGACCTTTTTGGTTGGTGGTTAACACGTTACCCTCCGGAATGAGTAATAGCGCGTTCGTTCCCCACCACAGACACCTGCGGTCCGGAGTTTTTGCGAATATGTCAGCATCATTTTTGTTGATTTCGCATAATACTCTGCCGTGAAAAGTTGTAGTAGGCAGCAAATAGAAAGTTAACGTAGTTACTTGTTATTTTTTGTTTAACTGACCAATGCATAATGACAAATGCTGTTCTTTAGAAGTTCAATTGGAACTGATGCCTATGACGCGTATGTGAAACAGTTCCAGGAGTGGGAAAAAGATGTCGAGAAACGTCGAAAATCACTTCGGGAGAAGGTGAGTGAGTTTCGTGTTATCAGTTCGTTCAAATACTTACTTGGATACTTGGATGGCACGTCCTCACCTGTTGTGCAGGCCCATGCATCATTTCCACTTTTTCGAAGGTTTCGCCTTACTGGTTTAGCCGTTCTGGTTTCTTGGAATCCCGAGGTCGGCCTGGCTGAATTCTGCCCAGGTCTTCACCACCACAGGTAGTCGCCGCCTTTGTAGATTACGAGGTTTGCCACCATGCGACTAGTTTGATACCAGGACGGTGGTGATTCCTGGTACTGGTTTACTCTTAACTACTGTTCACTATGGAAACGCCATTCTTGGGATACCTTGCTAGAGGGATGAACCCCACGTTGCACATCGCAGCCTGACACCTAGGAACGCCTCCCAGCCACAATGAGGCGCTAAAGCAGTGGGAGGGTTTGCTCAAATAATGTTTCCATTAGGCGTACGTCCAGCGGTTTACTTTATTATAACCTTAGCTACTGAGGTAAATTGAGCACAGTTGTGAAATTCCAGTGGAAATATAAGTGCCACTCAAGACACACTTGCTGTTATGACACCTTTGTTTGGGCCTTTGGATGACGGCAATTCACAAATTATAGTAGCTTCTGTCCTGTTATTATTGCTTTTAATCCACTGCAATTTTAGGGACTTCGATATACAAATTGTAGCTCATATCTTTCCTCATCGCACCATTCGTTTCGCATAAGTTATATCTTTGAAACTGCTTACGCTACTATATTCTTCCGGGTTTTGTTAAAGTCTTTGAGGTATAGGTCGAAGGTATTTGAAAGGGGGATTATGTCGTTGGCAAGACATGAATTTTGACTAGAAACTACTTTTGAATCCTGGATTGGAAGAAGCGCTGATCTTTTATCTTGTCTCTGAGTCCAGCATTACAGCAGAAGAAGGGATCGGACTGTTTACATGGGGATAGAACCGCGTATATGTTGAGAATGTGCCATTTTTGGCTTCCCAGATTCTTTTTTGTACAAATACTATTTGTAGGAGAGGAGGGAGGTGCTATAGTGCAGTGGTTAGTGACGTATTTGTGGAAGAAGGGTGCTGGTTTGGCCCACTGTGAAACGCTAGCCTATTATCCACGTGAGAACTTTTTAGTTAAGCTATATCAAAAATTTCACGGAGAATCTGCTCGACCAGCATACTGCGACATTTATAAAGATGACGAAATTCTCAAGAAGAACCCAAAATGACGCGAAACGTTCGAAGACCTTCGTGGACGAGGAATGCGAGGAAAACGAATCGAATGCAAGAAATGCTAGGATCCGTGTAGTAAATTTGATGATGGGTTATATAAAATAAAATATGGTGCTCGTAGCCTAAATATTTACTCACTTTTTTTTCTCAGTTCACTGGGGCTTTGCCATCGGTTTTGTTAACCATTTCTCGACGATTGACCTCTATAGATGTCATAATGAAATTGCTGGTGTGGTCGGTATGATACCTATAGGTTTCATTTTCCTTCCAGTGGCTTATGTTAACACATGAACTTTTCTTGCAATTTTAGTGTTCAGTGGATAGCTTATCCAACGCAGATGCTACGAGTGGCATTGTCCATTGGAGGACGTGTTCTTAATAATCTCTCACTGATTTCTCATTTTGCGACGAGAGACTGTTGCTGTTGAATGGGCTGACGGTAGTACGATGGCATTGTAAACAAGTATTTTTCTTCATAGACAAGAGTTGTATATGTACCAAAGACATGGAACGGTGCATAGAAGAACATTGAGCATAGATAGGAAGAGAGATGCACAGAAATTTTCCTAAAATGCAGAGAAAAGCGATTTATAGAAGGGAAATCACAATAAAAGGGATGCGCTATATAAAAGCTGCTGGAGTGGCCGGTGTGACACTCATAGGTGTCACAGTCGGGGCAGCAAGAAATCATTCGTCGTTCACTCCGAAAAATGTGAAGTTAGGTGTCGTTGCGGATGTTAAAGAAATTCAAAAAAGATTTGAATTAAGATAAAGGAGTTGTCTTGTGGATGCTTTCGGCAAAATGTCGTATATGTACATATATATACTTATATATACAAATATATGCACGTATATAAACACACATGTACATGAACGTATGTATATATATACATATATGTATATACATATGTATATATACGTATGCATAGAAAGAGCGAGTCATCAGGTTGGCATACGCCGCTTTCCTACCTTTGTTTCTATCCCCTGCACCAAAATGTCCTTATAGTTGCTTTTTTCTACTATTGTAATGTTTTCTGTCATTGTTGTCTTAATTAGATTCCATTGTCTTGGCACGCTTTACAAACTAAGGAAGCAGTTCATAAAATGGGTTTCGTAAAATGGGTCTTTTTCAACTATAGAAATTGATAAATATTTCTTAATTCGTTCTGGTGTGCTGCAATTTTGAAATCACCGTAAAATGAATTGGCATAAATAACGCTTCTCTTTGTAGAATTCTTAATAGTGTCTTCTCATCCTTTTGTTGTTTCAAGTTGGCTAGGACATTGTTGTCCTCTGACAACTTTTATGAAAACTGAAACCACATTTTCTTTGCAAATAATCTTGTGCAGTGTTAAAGGCGGAAAGAGAGGCCAACGAACTAAAGGCGCAGAAGGAGGAAGAGGAGAATGCTAAACGTATACAGGAAGCTAAAGAAGGTATTCTTCTCCGTCTAATTTTATCTGCCTTTTTTTTCTTTTGAATTCGAGTTAGAATATGTTTACGTGAGACAGTTTTGGCTCCACTTTCTGTAGAGCTTGCTCCTACTTTGATATGATCACCCAGTCTCTGTTGTATTTTGTCATTCTTTTGGAGCAGTATTAGTCCATTCGTTTCATTGTTCAACATATTGTTAGATATCTGCGTTTTAAGCAGAAGCAGCTGCTGCGTATGCACAGTCACAACAAGCATACATGGCTCATCACCAAGCTGCCTTAGAGCAGGAACAGCAACGACTTCAGGTATGTCTGTAATGTTCTTTGTACCACTTGAGACAGTCCTGTTGCCTAGATGCGGAGATAGTCCGGATTTATATGATTTGTAGCAGATTTTACCAGTACTTCACAATAAAGGAATTGCATTCTCTTTAATAATAGAGAAACATGTGATTTCACGGTGCCAACTTTCAATAGGCTCAACAGCAAGTTGCTCAATTAGCTCAAGTTGTTGCTCAACAACAATTCGCACATCCACCTCCACATGTTACGCAGCTTTCCACTCAAGTTTCTCATGGACAAGGTCTGTTTGTTGTTCTCCTATTGTGAACGTTTTACCGAACTTCTGGACGTACTGTTATTGTAGAAAGCTATTTCTAGTCTTAATTTAGGTGATCTTACTGCTGAGAATGTATTCAAGGAAATGGTAAGTGTAGTAATGGGTGGAGCTGCCGCAGCTTTAGGAACAAGTATGTGTGGCTTCCGTTTTTCAATTAAAAACAATCCTATGACCATATATCTTCTCAAGATCCCATTGCACAAGTACTGTTCAGCAGTCACGCAGCAACCACCACCGTCTATGCCGGGTGCACCAGGACCTGCTGGACCCCCACCACAGCTCTGGGGCAATACCAAGACAACTTATGACATGAAGGTTGCAATTTGTGCATGTTCAAGAATGCATTCTAAAGATATGTCCCATTTTGGTTTTGCAGCTGAGTATGTTCTTATAATTTTTTCAGGACCCATTGTTTCTGAAGTGGGGAGCTCGAGCAGCTCCAGCCCATAATCCTCCATGTATACGGCCTCCCATGGTGAGTTTCTAACTGCAGCTTTATTCAATTTCTTCTTAATTTTATCGTTTAGCCTGTTGGACCATGTTGGATGTTAGAAAACGCTCTGAAGGAGAACAAAATGGCTATAGCACCTGGACCAAACATTCCACCTCCAATGTTTATCCAGCCACCTCCTATATTGTAAATGGCGAAATGGCGGAAATTAAGGTGCTAAATAGTGCCAAGCTATACAGATAACTTAACGGCTATATTTCGTTTTGAAAGTATATAAGGCTAATATATAGCAACTTTTTCTAGGAGAATTTTTTCTCCTTTTTTTGTGTGAAAGCGCTCCCATACAATTACATGTTAATTGCTTATTTCTTTGGAGCTGACTTCTCAATTATTTTTGAAGTTAGGGCCGTTTCACCTTATATTAGTATTTCGGATTGTCTTTTGAAAAATTCCATAGTCTGTGATGCATATGGATAAATTTGCAGTTATTGTCTTTCTTTGCGGGTTTTCTGCATAGTCCATGGAGTGTATCTCTTCATTGGAGGCAATCTGTCCGGCTACTCTCAAGGCTACTTGTTCGTTATGGTGTTACACCTCTAAAAAAGCGACCGTTTTCATGTGAAACAGGTGGATTCAGTTTAAGACCATATCACTGCTATGCTGAATTGACATGTACCTCCTATGGGTACGTGGTTTTCATGCACGTGGGGGTGTTAGGCTTTCTTTCATGTAGACTTGCTTACTGATACTTGAATGGCCCTTCCTCACTGGTTGCGCAGACCCCAGCATAATCTCCATTTTTCGGAGATTTGCTGGCAAAGCCATTGTGCTTCTCTGGAATCCCGAGGTTAGTCTGGCCAAAGTCTGCCTCAGGTCTTCACCACCACAAGCAGTCAGAGCATTTGTGGATGAGAGGGAGATTTACCATCATGCAACTTTGATACCAGAATGGTGGTGGACCCTGGTATTGGTTTACTTTTAGCTAGGCATCCTGATGGAAACGCCATACTGCTGAGCTTGGGAGATCCGGCCAGGGGATGAATCCCCGCTATACATCGAAGTCCGACACCCAGGAGCACCTGCTAGCCACGATGAGGCGGTAAGCCATTGCGAGGTTCATGTAGACTATCTTAAGGATACACTGGCTCGTTTATTATGAGGGAAGCGGGAACTGATTACGGGTGTTTGCTAAAAACGGTAAAGATATCCGTCCTCTGTCTGAGTTCAAAGTGCTAAAAGCCACCGATATGGCAACGTTTAGAACCACGGAGAGTGCTAGGATGCTGCTTAAATCTGAAACGGCTGTTGTGAAATGGTTTGTATTTCCAGTGAATCCAATGATATTGAACACTCCTATTGATAATTGGTGATGCTAGAAGGAAGATCAAGTACGATGTGATTGGATTTGCCTAAACGAGATGCCACGACCCATTTACCGCCATCTATGACACCGGGCAATAACTATTCCTTTGAATATGCAGGAGAGAACTAACAACCGAATTTCGATCGTCCATGCTCCAACAGCATCCTGTCACGAAGAGAAGGTTATGTTAGGCTTTCGATTATGTCTGATATTTGGACTGTTTCTTGGAAAAGGCGACAATAGGGAAGTCGGAGCCGCTGGCGTCTTTGTTGAGATAATTTTGGCCATGAATGTTGAGACCTCCGAACAGCTAACCACCTGAATTGAACGTTTACAATAGAGGAGATGTGGTTTAATACGTGCTTTGGTATCCTTCGTGATGATTCACTGGCATCAAGCTATAATGAAGATGAGGACATCATGCTGTGATGAAGACGAGGTCGAAACGTTCTATATGGTTGCTCTAAAGCTTACACGGGATCTGATCATTGCTTCTTTCATACGGTATTCTTTTTTCCTTTCACATGAAGGACAAAGGTTTCATATACAAGGTACGAAATCCATGAGCCCTGTAAATTGGAATTTATTCGCTTTCTTAGCTCTTTTTTTGAAGAGATATCCTTGACGACACACCGCTGAGGAATAATAGTAGTTCACCCCACACCTCGACAATTTTTTTACACTACCAGTCTTTCACATCTACTGTATGGGTCATTGCACTTCTTGCATTCGATTCGTTTCCTCGCACTCGCCATCCACGAGTGTCTTTGAACTTTTCGCACGTGGGTTGGCTGCACCATGAGAACGTCCCTTTCGTCATGGATGTCGTTGTATGTTAGTCGAGGCGACGTTTTCTGGAGTCGAGATAAAGCCGGAGTACAGCGTTCTCACGTGGATTGCACAGAACGGACTTTTCTCAGACAAATCTTATACTAATTTCACCACCTCAGATAGATGGGAGGCTTGGTGGGCTCGGTGAGGATAGAACTAGCACCATGCTTGTTATGGTGAGTATCACTGCTGCTGCGCAGCTCGCTTGCTTGCCTTGACAGTGGTGCTAAGAAAGGCAAGAATTCGAAAACCACCATGAGACGCATATCCCCAGAAACATCTCGAGCTGACATGTCGGTCGTACAAGCCACAAAGAACGCGCGCCTTAGATCTGAACATAAAAAACTATTGAAAAGTTCTAAAAGCAAGGCTTTAAGTTGGCAAGAACTACACAATCAGTTGGATCTACAAAGGTTAAGTAGAGCATCTGTGACGTCCGCTGGTAACTCATTATCTACAAGAGAAAAGTGATTGTTTCGTCGCAATCAGACCAGGTAGCCATGGCATCTGGAAGGTCGGTTATGAGGAGCATCTTAAACTTTTCCTAAGGTGTCGTCTAAAGGAGTTATGTTCTCCTGCATCCATGCAATACAATACAACAGTTCTTTCACACCCCATTTATGGAAGTGAGTTGAAAGTTAAAATAAGGAAACATTGCAGTAAAGTCCTTTGGCAGCTAGTTGTACATTTGTGTAGTAGATGACAACCTTTTGTCCTGTATCAGGTGATACCAATGATAATCGAACTCAAGAACATGCGTGGAATATCAGTTATCAAGTTAAGTTGAAAAAAAGTAATATCCTTGGGAACTCATTTGTTTCCGACTATTCATTTACAATCAATGGAATGTGAATCTGAATGATCCGGTTGCGCGGATCTGTGACGTCAAGCCAATATTGTCAACGGTTTAGCTGCAGGGTTGAGTAAGAGGAAGGGCATAGCTTCCGATGCGTATGCTAGATGCTTAGAGGTCGTTGGGGAGTATGGTTAAAACGAAGAAGAACAAAGTGACCTGTGTCTACTACTTCGATTTCAGAATTCTTCCTACTTTCATGTATGCTTGAGAAACCTACGTAAGGAGGAAGAAAGGCTGGTCAGTGTCATTAAATTCAGCATCGAAAATGTAGGAGAATACCGTACCATACACAGAGTGAACAAGATCTGATATCCAGGTCAAAATACATCCATAGATCAGAGGTACTGCCGCATGTGTCAAGATGTCAAAGATCAGATGGAACAAGGACGTAATGCACTAACCGCTTGACGGAATCTGTCAACAAGTGGGACCCATAAGGCCTAGCGCAGAAGAAGAAGACTGCCGACCTAATGGTCCGATTTCCTCCTGGCTTGGAAGATAAATATATTGCTGTTTCAGAAACTGGTGTGATTCCCATATGTTGAGGTTTAACAGCATCGACTTTGTCGTTATCATTATGAAATGAGAGGCACTGATAACCATTCTCCATTTTCAAGTGGTTTCATTTTCTAGCAGTGCTTACAGTGTTATGGTGGATATAAATCTTGAATTTCCCAGTTTTCCGAAAACATTCACGGATTTCTCAATCAAGCCTGACCTAGTGGAGGTGCTGTTTTCCACGTAATTTTATAAGTTGATTATCAATAAAGTGGTTACTTGTTGACATATGTTTAGCACACAAGGCTAGACATGTATTGGTTCCAGTGCATTTGGCGCGAAAATAATGGTAGCTCCAAGGTTTTTATCGATATATTTCAGCTCATGATGTTTATTAATTGGAATACAAGGTACCATAGTATGCAAGTCTCTATGCAGATTTTTATTTGCAAGATACGAAACCTATTCTTTCATATTATGCGCGAAGTCTTGCATGTGGTATCAGAAAGCGATTGAACAAAATGAGTTCCTTCGAGCGGAGCACAACGCTACTTCCCAATGTGCTCCCGTCTTTTACTGCTGCCACACCTGCGTGGGAAATTTTTAAAAGTTAGAAAAGGGTAACCTAGTTAGAAGAGTTCCGAACTGCTTAACGAATTTTGTGGAGATCGACGACATTCTCACAAATAGAAGATGATGTTTCCTTGATACATTAGTGGTGTAATCATTTTACATTGGATCTGATCACCGCCTTCTCTTTACGAAGTCTCGTTTTAAACACAAGTTGGAAACGGTTTCTGTAAGCGTCCAAGTTGAAGGCATAGACATTTCCCACATCATTAGAATTTTTTTTTCTTGAATTCTTGACGGAATCCCTTCCTTATATAACTGACACAGAAATGAAGAGCAGACTGAGAAATACGAGAAGCTTGCTGAAGGTCTTAAGAAATCTATCGAATTTGCTTCAATTAGATGATTTAACAGGTTTCGCTTTCCATTTTCCAAGGGTTTGATATCCAAAAACTTAGGACTGAAAGAATATTTCCTAGAAATTAAAATTACATCCATCATCGAAGCGATAGAACTCTGTAAATGTGTGGAGTTGCCGATTCCTTAGATGTTCTAGTGATCGAAAAATCACAGTCCGTTGACGAGAAACCAGCTGTGACGCTTAACTGTTCATACTTTAATGGAACCTTAAGAAAGGGATAGTTTCCAGGTAAACGGAGATACATGGGAGTCATTCATTACTCTTCAAAACTCATCTCAATGCGGAATATTGTTTAAGGTGTTTCTTCTCATATGTTTTAATAATTGAAGCTCTGTTGTTAGAGCACCGCATATTTTTGTTTTACGGATCATATAAGATAATGGGCCGCAAGACGAATTCAGAGGCACTATTTAGCGATGTTTACGCTTTTACAGGCACCGACTTTTATTTCTACATCTTTAGGTGAAATGCACATCGAATGCTCGAATTGAGATCGATGACTGTGCAGACATACTTTTACCTGGAAATGAAGTACAGGTTAGCTATCGTTCTCACTGTAAGCCATCTATGCCATTAGAATTCAGGCGGCAACGGGTAGGCAAACGCTTCCTAGTTAACGTACGTATAACTAACAGTAAGGCTATTTTTCAGTTGTCTAACTTTCTGTTGTTCGCTTCCACGGCATTCTACTGTTTATTTGTATAGCTTAGTCAAATGTTAATTCGTACAGCAACATATGCACCATACGTACACGTACTGGCATGCAAAAAATATAATGAAATACACACACACAGAGACACACCACACACAGAAAGACACACACACGCACACACTCACGCGAACGCAAACAAACACGCACGCACACACACGCATATATATATTATATATATATATATATATATATATATATATATATAGCTAAAATAAATCTGTCTTAAGAACACCATAAAGTTTAGAGTTAGTGCTGGATCGCTGACATTCGTTCTGATAAATCTAAAGTGGGTTCACACTTCTGAAGAAATAAATCACGTTATCCGTTATGAAGACACTCGCTCTTAAGGTGTTTGCGACATCTTCCACATTTGTGGTCACTCCAACTAATCAACGGTCTACCAAGTACTAAGCGGTTACTCAACATTATTACAGAGCTCGCTACCACTTTCTTGAAATTATACAAGTGTTATACATCCTTTGCACGAGCTTCTGATAGAAATGAATTTGTAGAACATCGTCGGGAAAGTTTTAGAAAAGCGTGCATCACTTTATTCTGCTTTGACTGGAATGCTATCATGGTGCTGCCCTTGGTTGGCTAGACTCGTAACTAATTAACTGTATACGTTGAGCAGCATTCGAATGGTTTTTTCCTTCTGGAACATAGTCTTTGCACGTGATTTTGATCTAGAGGTAGTTACTCCTTATTTGGATGCTTAAATGGTCTGCCGTCACAAACTGTTTGAGCTCCAACTCCAGCAGTGTATGAAAGTGATCGGACTTGCGCATTGTTCGGCTCTGGCATAAGGATTTGTTGTCTTTCCTCGATTTAAACTTGTTAAGTGCTCACCAAGAGTTATTTTCAGTGGAATTCGGAAAACTCCATCTAAGGTCATTCGCAGGTCTTTATCACAGGCTTTTGCCAGCTATTATGATTTGAAGAGAAATCTGTTGTATCTTGCAACTAGAATTATACAAGCGGATTAACAGTTCGTATGACGGAGATGCTTCCTGAAATTAGTCTCCCGGATTCAAGCGCGTTATAACAAGCTGAATTCTGTTTATGATTAGAAAAGATATCGTATCATTCTAGGATCGCGTTCATCGCAATGGTTTGAAGTGCTCTGCAATATGCGCTCATCGAGCGGTCGCTGGTTCGTCACAAAGTCTTCCTTCTCTTCGGAGTCGTCAAATTCCTATCAGACTTATCTGGGAGGATAAAAACACTGACTGCTACATCGGTGGGCTACCACAAGTCATCAAGCCAGATATGGATTCGTTCACCTCTGATAATGATTGATGAAGTCAAATACTGGGCGCATGCGTCACAGATTGGTAAACGCCGAAGGTTTACCTTTATCTTTCATGATGTTTTTCTAAGCTACTGACTGAGAGATCGGCTCTGTAGTCACGTTTGGACTAGAAACCAGTTATACGGAATTTGAAATGATTTTAATCTTTTTTCTTCCTCCTTCACTACGTCTTGCTCTTTCTCTCTCTCTCTTTCTTTTGGGTAGATCCGCTCCGTTTATTTATAGCTGAAACCACCGTTTTTCTTTTCTGGATTTCTATCTGTTGATTCACATCTGTTGCTGGATACATCCACTACCGCTTACCCATGAAAAAAAAAGGTTTGAATTTTGCGGTTTTTTTTCAAGCGTATCACTGTAGTGGCGCCAGTAATCGAATAAATTGAGTTTTCGTCAACATTGTCTGTATTGGTTTTCGTTATGTGTCATAATTTCCCAATAATGAAAAGTTCTGAACGGAAGGCGTGAAAACTGCCACAGTACGCTCTTAAGGAGTTTGTGAAGAGGTCTTGATATCGGATCAGGTGTGGTGACGATTTGCTGACCTCCTGAAAATCATCCGGAGTCTAATTAAATTATTGCATCCATTTAGGTGTGGAAGGGCGCGTGTGGCTCAGTGGTTGGAGGCGCCATTGCGACACACACGTGGAGTCGATTCTCCCCCCCCCCCCCCCGGTTGGCGCACCAAGCTTCCCATTCCTCTGGGGTCGACAAATTAGTACTAAACTTGTCTGGGAGGATAGCAGCACTGGTTCGATACATCGGAAGGCCATCGCGAGTCATTGTAAAGGCCAGATGTGCATTCAATCACCTCTAACGATGCTAATCAAGTCGAATGCATGGCGCATCCCTCAGGGATTGATCAATGCTGAGAATTTTATCCTTTTATCCTTTATTCACTTAGGTTATTCTCTTTTAATCATATTAAATGCTTTACCCGTCCGGGATGACTAATTTTAGTCTAAGTAGTGTTCCGTCACGTTAACGTATTGGTGTAGATCGGCACTCTAAACGTTTTTGGTCATCTGCTCGAAGCAACGTCCTTTCGTTGTTCCTTTGGTAGACTATAGCTAGCCATAACATCACTTTACCTTCATACTCACCAGCGCTCCCAAGCTTTTGTCTAGGCAGGAGGAACCTTTTGATTGGAATTCCAAAGATATCCAGTTTCTTACACTTCTTAAAAGAAAACTTTGTTAAGTGATGCTACCTTCGCATTGCAGTTAGTCGAATGGAGCTGTTGTAGACACAGGACGGTTTGCTCCATCAGAGCATCGTGGACACTCCATGTTCTACGATTTCTACATTGTGATTTAAAATTGTCACCTAAGCCATTGATGGTCCACGTAACCTTATAATTTCCGTACCCATATACTTTTTCTCCGTTAGGTCGTTAGTTGGATTAGGATACATATTACATATGGACTTCTGTCTTGGAAATAGTGGAAGTCAATCCTTAGTAGCTGTTCATGGATCTTCCGTCCATTAGGATACAGGATTCTTTTTGTTTACTTTATCTGCAAGATTTCATCGAAAGAGACTTGCAGTAGCCACAGCTGTATGATGTCATATGCGAACATCTACTACTGCTACTACTGCTTACACCTTTCAAATCATTCACAGCAGTATCATTAACCTTATCACCTGTGTGAGTGCATGACAAACACCTATCAATTATAGCAATCGAATGCTTCACAGGACTATCATTAATCTATGGTCTAAATCATCAGCGGCGTGTTGCAAAAATGTGATCATTTCGGTTCTATCTGCTAACAAAGCCAGATTAATTACTTGGCAGTGAAGATAACTGGATCTGACCATTCAGATGAGGAAGTCCTATCACTCTTTGTAGTAGCAAGTCAAAGATGTCCTTGATAGCGTTGTCTGAAACATCTTTTCGACAATAATGCTATAGGACTAACCTAGTATCTTCAATAGTTCAGCATATTTAAACTGGTCACAAGGATCCGTTACTTGCTGAACCCTTTCATTTGTGGATTTCGTGACAAAGTATAGGAATATTCACTGGATTTCAGGTGACATTCAGGAAAAAAACTGCATCGAGTGCTCAAGATCAACTGATGGTACTCTATTGCCTTGTTGGAAAACAGTGGATGTCCGATAGTGCAAGTGCTTTCAGGTGCTTCTTTTACACCCTTTCAACGGGATATAGCTAAGCTTATGCTAATGCGGTACCTTTCACGTCACCTGTAGCTAGCTACCTTACTGAAAACAAAGACCTTCATACTATAAGTGTAATACAACCACAATAATGCTGTGATATTTGCAAAACTACGGACCGCAAGTGTCTGCGGTGGAGGACGAACGCGCTATTACTCTTTCCAGGGGCTAACGCGTTCACCGCCACGCCATGCGAGTCCTTCGTTTTGCTTGCCTCCCAGCTAGCTTTCTAATTCCGTTGACGGGTGATTGCTGATTGCACTGGTAGATAGAAAACTAGCTGTGAGACAAGCGAAACGAAGGACTGGCACGGCGTGGTGGTGAACGCATTAGCCCCAGGAAGGGTCATAGCGTGTTCGTTCTCCACAGCATACACTTGCGGTCCGGAGTTTTGCAAATATTTCAGCATCGCTGTCGTTGTATCACACTTAATACCCTGCCATAAAAATTGTAATAGGAAGTAAATTAAATAAAAAGCCAACATTATAAGTGTGATGTTTTTGTCATTTACGCTCAATTGAGCGTAAGCCTATGAAGCTGCTCTGGCATCGATAGGGAATGGAGACTTTGTTGATCGTTCCCATTAGTAGATGACTAACGAAAGTACGGAAGATTCAGATGAGTGTTTCATAGCTATTTCTAATGAGTGGTTTGTAATACTAATTAATATAGCGTAGCTGAGTTTCAAGGTATCTTTTGCAGAATGTCAGTAATAACATAGTAATTTTATTGTTGCAAATTATTCGCGCAGTTACTAAGAGAATCGAGCAAATTCATTTATCTAAGAAACGAATCCATTCCGACAGTAAGCAAATGTACTTCTAATTACGTTGAACTCCTATTGATAAACTGGGACAAAACACGTGGGGATATTTCTGTCCCATAACTTGATTTCATTCCTCTTCCATTTGTTATTGGCTATATATCCTAATTGCTACAAAATCCTTTCTCGATTTCCAATAGGGTGCGCAAAATTTTGATGATGCATTATATTTTCGACCATGATTTTAGAGAAATTGTCCTTGGGCGTTTTAATAACTTTATCCTTTTAACTTCAATGATGCTGGGATATTTGCAAAACTCCGGACCGCATGTGTCTGCGGTGGCGAACGAACGCGCTATTGTCTTTTCCGGTGAGTAACACGCTCACCACAACACCATGCGGATCCTTCGTTTCGCCTGTCTCTCAGCTAGTTCTATCGATTTTTTGCCATCAGCAATCACCCGTCAGCGGGTTTGATCTGTGGAGCCCAAGTCGGCAAGGAACCGAGTTAGGGTGAAGTTGCAGTTATAATCACGATTTTAACTTATTATTTAATGCCTACTCTTTTTAACGGCAGGGTATATATTGTAAAATATAACTTTAATTATTCTGAGATGTTTGCAAAACTCCGAACCGCAGGTGTCTGCCTTGGGGAACGAGCACTCTATTTTCCTTTTCGGGGAGTAACGCATTCTCCACCACACCATGCGCGTCCTTCGTTTCGCCTTTAAAAACGCCTTCCGCCGTCGAAAAGAGTAGGCAGTAAATCATAAGCTGAAATTGTGATTATTACTGCAGCCTCAGTTTAACTAGGTTTCTTACCGATTTAGACTCCCCATCCCGCTGGCGGGTGATTGCTGATGGCAAAAGATCAATAGAACTAGCTGAGATACATGCAAAGCGAAGGACCCGGATGGTGTAGTGGTGAACGCGTTACTCCCTGGAAAGGACAATAGAGCGTTCGTTCCTCACCACAGACACCTGCGGTCCGGGGTTTTGCAAATATCTCAGCATCTTTGAAGTTATATTTCGCAATATACTCTGCCATTAAAAAGAGTAGGCAGTAAATAACATGTTAAAATTTATTCTTTCAGTTTGTGGAGATAAGAAGTTATCATTGTTTACTGTTTAGATGTTGGAAACGAGTCAGGAAACAAGACGTGATTACAAAAAGGAAAATTATTGATATCGTAAACAAATAAAAGCCCGACCAGTAGGGCGTTTATTAACAGATTTATCGTTACCGACACCATGATCATAAATCATCGCTAATTATGAGAAATGATAGACGAAAATAGGAGATCAATCGTAAACGCACGACATTCTTTTGTGCTTACTCGATGTACATTAGCGGATGCACGGTGTATGGTACAGGTGACGGCAGGTGACACTTCCCGACTTCTCTACCTTCTTCTTCGTCCGAAGGACATGATCGAACGCTCGAAGTCATCCCGTTTACCGAACGCCAACATGTCCCGGTTGAAATCCGAGAATTGACGTCCATCGATCGGCGAGATTCGATGATCAAACTGCAGTAAACGTTTTTATTTACGGAAATTCACTTGAAATAGTAAATGTTTGCGAACAATACCATAGTGAGTTGTTTCATATCGTTATTGTTGTTCGAACCTCACAAACAGTCGCCATCCTATTTACGACAGGCAACGTGTCGATACCTCGTGTTAAAAATGAAGAGAAAAGCATGGCTATTTAGAAGGAGATTGGTTGTGAGGTGGATTTGACTTAATCCAGGAATGGATGAACAAAGCGGGAGCGTGCTCACCGTTGCTCTTTTCCCAAAGCTCATCATTTCTCTATCGAATCCATCTGATCGCTTGCCAAATGACATAATCTCTCTTTCAAACTAAATATATCCAATGTTGATAAAATAAAAGACGGTTTTGAATATTTTTGAAGTGACGCTCTAGTCGCTGTTCGTTAGGCGAGTAAAATTTTTGGTTAAGGCTATATTAGAATAAAATCGCTGAGTTGTCAAACACGGGCAGTCTCCTTTTGTACATTACAGTTAAGTATAACGTGGAAAATTGTGATGTCTTAAAATCGTCACGCTGTTGTTATGAAAGGGAAATATGGTGATTTTCCAGCAGAGGAGGTACTCCTGTGAAAAACAGTATTCTCAAAAGTAAAACGTGGCTGACTGCGGGATAACTGCCGAAGTCACCAGCTGGTCGCTTGCCAAAGTGCATAATATCTCTTAAGAAATCGTTACGCTTCTCATTTCCGCGAACATCCGAACCTGAAAAACCGTTGATATAGTCATTTTTAGCGGGTTGTATCATGTCCCTAAAATTGGCTTTCATTTAGTCTCCACATGCAGAATCACTATCTCATATTCTTTTTCCGATAAGCTTACAAAAGGTTGATAAACAGTTTTTATTCGGCTAATGTTTCGACGTCTTCGTCTTCATCAGAGGCGATGATCATCCGACCCAATAGTCTATGGTTGTTCTCTTGCGATAACTCGGTTTATTTTACTTGTACAATGTTCTACTCCAATCGTTATATTCAGTATTACTGCGAAAACTCACAAGAAATCAACTGTGAACACACGGAATAATTGCGGCACTAAACAAGAGAAGAAGGCGATGGTGCCGAAAGGTTGGCCATAATAAAAATTTCTAACGGCGCTACGTATTTCTATTAATGAATCAAAACACTGATTTGTTTATATTGTTCAGCTTACACGAGGTTGATATGAGATGATGTTTATTCGGATATGATGTTTATTCGGCTAACGTTTCAACGTCTTCGCCTTCATCAGAGCAGACGATTCTTGTCGATGGTCCACAGTTGTTCTTCTTCTCGATGTGGCGTCTTCCTCTCGCATCGATCCGGATTTTGCTCAGTTGAGCATCTCGAATGAGCAAAACAATGAGTCTACAATTTTTCTACGCGGCCCGACATCACATTTTGTGCGGATTCCAGTACTTTTTTTATTCGATTCGACTCCTCATATCCATCATTCACGAACCTCATGAGATAAGCGTGTGAATGTGTCGTTTTCTTGTTCAGCAATCGCGAGGTTTTT